ATGACAATCAGTTGCAGGCATGCGGTTCAAATCTCCTCTACGAGAACCGGGTATTCCAATTTTTTGCCCCCTAATTTTCTCAATGATATTCTGAGATAGTATTTTGCAACTCATAATTTAAAATTGCCCTATAATTCGATGCTATAAAACCTAAATAGTTGAAAGCGTTGTTATATAAATTATAATAAAACATGCAAAATATAATTTAAAAGTTATTTAAGAATGTTAACTAATTGTGGTTCATGATTCTTCCACAGGTCAACGCTGAAAGAGATCCCGCTGAAATCTTCAAAGACGTTGAAGCTTGTCTGGACAGTCTGAAGACTGCAGCTTAAGTGGCGAATGTAAATGACATTTAAGACACAAAGAGACATCCAACTTTGGATGTTGCAATTTTTAAACATGCGGGTACCAGCTCTGACTTCCCTAAACTAATTATACACACTGTTGTAACTGAGCAGATTTTTTGCATATTGGCTTGCACGTTGAAAAAGCTACATGTGGAACCAATTAGAGAGCTTTTTAAAATAATATTACCTAATATAAGCGTGTAAGCAGTTGAACTTAGAAGCCTAATAACACACTCTTTGAAAATGTGTTCACTTGTATTTATTAAGTATAATTAGACGATTCAGTTTATTCAAGCATGTTTTTATATATATATATAATATTAAAAGACTGCTTTCAAAACTTTTCACACCTAAGAGACATTATATGGCTCCTGAATTTAGAAAAGGCCTATGTATGGGTTCTGAAAAAGACTCAAGTACTTTAAATCACTTACTATTTTAAGCAAAATTTTAAAAAAAATATTTCAGATATACATAAATACACAACGTAAAATATAAATGTCAGGAGGAGATATTTATAGATTCTTTAATTTAGCAATCATGCTCATCAAAACATAAGAAATACAAGTATTATCTTATATGTGTCTGTTCGAAAATGGCTATCTTCTGGGTTGTTGCGCCGTGTAGTCTGGTAGAAGTTTACCGACGTTTCAGAGGTAAGTACTCATCGCCCTGATCATGGAGGCAGCAAGGACATCTGAAACGTCGGTAAACTTGTACTAGACTACATGGCGCAACAACCCAGAAGACAGCCATCTTCAGAATCACAGCCGAAAAAACCACAAATCCTACATTATCGACAAAATCTAAAAGGTAAATGTTTAAGAAAAATGCAATTTGAACTAAATGTACAGAAAGTACTAGGTTGTTAAAACAACGATAATAGTAAGCAAAACACCAAGACTACTTGCCGCCTTGGATTTTGATAAATTAGTTTAATATCGAAGGCTTGAATAAGTCAAATATCTTGAAGCCGTAATCCAGTTCCAATTTGGCATTGAATGTTTTCTATTTCAACTACAGCTCCTAACTTTAAATATGTGCTCATACAGTTAAACTTCGCGAGAAAAGCAGCAACAATTTTATGTTTATTCGTTTTTTTATACATACATTATTGAATTTTTACTGTATTAATACAGCTGGCCTGCCGTTTAAAAGTACGCCCTCAGTGATGAATTAGTACAATTTGTTCAGACTCAAGAAGTTCTTATTTGTTTTTAATAATTTGTGTCCACGAGCATATTTCTGATGAATATCTTGGTGTAAGTAATAGTGTATGTTGTAAGAGAGGTATATAAATCAGACAGAAACACCCTGGAGTGTCTAAATAGCGTCAATAGCACACCTGCAGAAACCAATAGACATTCATTCTCTGATATTCTTCACCACTGGAAGTTTCCAATTCAATTCAATCTTCTGGAAACATATTTATGAATACTGTTAAAACATTACGCTATAAGATTGCTGTCTTCTGGGTTGTTGCGCTGTGTAGTCTGGTCAATGTTAACCAACGTTTCAGAGGTCATACTGCCTCCGTCATCAGGGCGATGAACATCTACCAAACTACACAGCGTAACAACCCAGAAGACAGCAATCTTCAAAGTCACCGCTGTGAAAACCTCAAATCCTACACAACGCAATAAATTATCTGGACACGAATACACGCATTGTTATTGAGCTAATCGAAATTCAATCATCAACACATCTTCAACTTTATACTTCACGCAAGATGTAAAAGCTCGTCTTCACAGATCACCACAGCCCTTTTCCTAGTCTGCTCTTTTCTCTGTGTAATATTAAGCGCTCAAGGCGACTAAATACAGTGAAGTCATCTCGTGTTATCGGCACCTTCAATACGGGGATTTGTCTCCGTTTCGTTCATCAGAGATGAAACACTCGGCTCCAGATTCTCATTCAATTATTGTTTCATAACAGCTTACGTGTACAATCGGTGTTACCATTCGAGACCAATTTAAGCCGATGAATATAAGAAACTGGACTTAAGGATCGGGTAACAGTCTTGTCATGTGATCACTCCGTGCTCTGAGTTGCAAATATAGTTACCTTTTGGTTTACACCTGTTCGAAGTGATTTCTTAACACTTTCTAAAATTTAGCATTAGGTTCTTACAAATGGAAAACCAACTAATGCCTACCTCGGCTATATATGCCCAGAATACTGTTGGACTACACCTACAGCTTATATTACTGGACCCAAAATATACTAATCAGTGGCAGTGTAGTGAAATATATGCATGCATGCAACTTGAATTTCTGACTCGCTACTCCATCATACATACATGAAGTACAGTGTACGCAGTTATTTTTAGACAAAAGTACCTGTAATAAAAGGAAACATTTCTAAAATAGAAAATTCTCAGGCTTCCAGATCTGGTTATAAGGAGGTTTTACTTTGCCACGGACCACAGTTTGCTAAACACTACTTGAAAACCCCTAATTGATGATGTCTACTTGTAACTTGTATTGATCTTTCAAACAATTCCTGCATACGTCAGTGGCTTCTGTTACTAATGACACACTGCATTATTCACAACGTCATTAGGTCAATGCTTAGGCTAATCAAGCGTTACGTTCTGTACCAGTCGAAAAATTTAATTACTTCTGCGGAACAAAACAGAAATTTATTCCCGGATGCTGCGTCTTTATCTAACGGAAGTAAAGTGCTGTAGGCAGATAAATTAGCCTACTGTTGTTTGTTATTTTTACTCACTTGAAATATCTGTTGAGTCGCGTTATGGGTTTGCACTGTAGTAATCTAGACAGACATCACAAAGCAAGTCTTTCAGCTAATAATAGCTAATAATAAATTAATAATAGCTAATAATAATAATAATAAGCTAATAATTAGTGAGTATTATGCAAATATTTCTGAAGACATGTCACGTGTATTTTATGGTTCCCTGCAATTCCGATTCAAGACTTTTTTATTAAAATACTTAAGTCGATAATGTTCTTCGGGAGTAAGTAATTTGGGCGTTAAAATGAAGAAATTGGATGTTAAAGTTAACTTAATCCTTCAAGTAAAATTACTTCTAAAACAAGTTAAACTGAATTAAATTTTCATGTGGTAAGACAGACAACAGGAATGTCAAAAATAAATTTAACTACATGTCAAAACCCTCTAATTAATATTTGCAAGAGTTTATTTACGATCTTAACGCAAAAGAAACTTTCAAAATCAAAAACCAAAATTTGAAAAAGTTCGACAAAATGTAGTTAGGTCTGAAGCCTACTATTTGCTGACTTACGGACGGATAGATTGGTCGACGATACTCATAACTTGGATGCTTACTTTTAGCGAATCAAAGCGACACTGAATCAATTCGTGCTGCTGATCGGAATAGCAGTCGTATACATCCGACGTTAAGAGTGTGTTAATTTATATATTCATTCTGGGTACGATTTAATATATTTTGTCAGTCAGTTCTGGCTCCTAAGTAACGACGCACTTTCTTCTGATCCCTGAATAACACATTAAATTCAGTGGGACACGGATTACGTCCTTTGACAGTAGAGGAGATTTGTTATCCTAATTTTTAGCCAGTTATTACAAGTCTACAACCAAAATATAATCAGCTCTTACGGATTAGGCCTTCTTGCCTCTTCCAATTCAAAATTATTTCTGAAATTATTAATCAATTCATATGTTTGGACGCGATGCCTCTGCCTGCACAAGATATCACAACCCACAAAGACGAAAACATCCATTCATACCCTGAAAATGTTTCGAACCCACAATCGCAACGAAGTGGCTAGACCTGAGTCCTAGACTGCGCGGCCACTGAGGTTCAACATAATTAAAACATTCTGAATCAAATATCTAATTTACAAGGATATCCGTGTGTATAGACTGTACAAAATAAATATATTTAATCAAACACAAACATGACGCATATAAGATACAAAAAGGATATCCGTGTTCAACGTCTCTTCACTACACCACTGTCCTTAGCTGTCAGCCTACATAACATGCATCACTCAACCAACCGAATCCTTTAACTGACAGAGACAAAAAAGACAACTGATGCTGACAGTTTGCGTCCTCAAATTATTCAATCAGCTTTTCATGTTCGTCCACCGCGGTCACTGCTACTTTAAAATTCTTAGTGTCTATCCGAGTTCGGCGATAAGAAACGGGTATGATTTTGGTGGCAATTATAATACTCGCTGTACCACCTTCGATTGTCGGAGCAGTATTTCGGTGTGAAGAGGTAAGAACTGTTTTTAATAGTCCTTGGTGACCATTAGGTGATGAAATTTTAGTAACAGGATCTCCGTGCCGCCAAATGTAAGACTGGTGCTCAAAACCTGTCATACTAAGCTTCCAAACTATGGCGCAAAATATGACGTGAAGCTTTCACGGCTGCTTTCATTAATAAAGTTTTCTCGGGCTATCAGCCGTGTTAGATGTTGATTAATCGCCGACGTTTCGAGGCCATCTCTCTCCTCATTTTCAAGGCTGTCGACTGCCTTGAAAATGAGGACAGAGAAGGTTCATGGCGGAAAAGTTTATGATTTCAGAACTCAGTCTTCCTCTATGTTTAACACAAATTGTATTATTTTTCTAAGAACTGATAACCGTAAGCAGTACATAAAATTTATCTTGCCGATGTTGATCTTCTGGATTGTAACGCCGTTTCTCCGAAACGTTCGTTTCTACCTACAAGTTCGCACTGCTTTGTAACCCTGAAGACCAAACATCGACATCCTCACCGCCGAGGAAACTTAAAAACTTACTTATTTCATCTGAAACTTTTCGATTATAGTAACGATATAATACTTTAAGTGTATACATTTACTTGCAGTCCTAAGCCACCCATAACGATGAAATTAACATTTCATCACCAATCTTCAGTACAAGTCTTTCCCGTAACATGTTCATAAATTCATGGAGAATGTTCACGAATTTAAGGGCATAGTATCTGGGCATTTGAAGGAAAGCATTTTTGCCTTTCTACATCAGAGTCAATAAATCTTAAAACATATTCCATACATGCCATGCCGTAAATTCGGACATACGACACGTCGTAGAAGTTATAGGTCTAACCTAAAGATCTTGTACTACTTCCTGTCGTAGTTAAATGGTTTGCATGGATAAAAACTACTCACACAAACACGCGAACACAATTTTTATTCAGTGAAACAAGCATATACTCTAACTGATGACACCGTCGACTTTATTTCTACAGGTTAGACGCGAGTCGCTGTTGGATTTTTACTTGGTTCAGACATGCAGTCGATCTAAGATGAAAATCATCGCTCGGGCAAACCTGACCACACCAGATCGGTGCGCCCTTTTCGCATTACAGAAACGGGGTCTGGCCTTCAACTTTAGCCCTCCTGGTCTAATGGAGGGTAGGAATACCTGCATTGTTTGCGACTGTCCTGAATTCGAAACCCTGGCTTCCCTCAAGAAAGATTTGCGCTATGATTACTACAGTCTATATGGCAACCCACTACGTAAGTTCTAGCTCGTAAATTGTAGCTTGTGGACAGATAAAAGACTGTCGGTAGCAAAAAACTGAAACTGATATGAAACATTACAGCAAGCAAGTAATGAAACAAACGTAATTCATATTGCACATCTTGCGAAAATGTTTCATTTGTATTAAATTATTGGGAATTAAGAAATGTGAATGAAACATAATAGTAGCACTAATTAACAATTCTGAAATTGTAATAAATCCTCATAATAGCATCCAATTGTCATTTGCAATTAATTCTCAAACATTTATTGCAAGACTCGATTGTAATTCAGCTGGTGATTTCCCTTTCTACCTTGCATAATTTATTTAAAATATTTCCACTCGCAGTCGGCTGTCTTTGTATCGTTATAGCAAGCATAGATCACACCTGTATACCCAAATTGGGAGTGTTCCAGCTTCATCCAGAGCGCCTCAACTTCGCTCAAGCACTGAATTCATGTCGAACCAACAACAGTGAGTTGGCACATGTCATCTCAGAGCTTCGCACTACTGCCCTGTCATCACTAGTTATGCAACTTGGGGGCAACCGAGGCCCGAAGAGGGCCTATGTCGGTCTCGAGGACAGAAAAGTTGAAGGCCGATTTACTACGACAATGGGTTCGTAAATGACTATCAAATACACAGGTGATACATGCCTTGATTCATATTTCTGCGTGCTTTATAGTATCAAAAAGCGCTGGAGAATCTTTGCAACAGAACGAAATTGAATACACTGTTTGTTATAATTGGTATGACCTCATTCTCTATCATAAGCCTTCCACAATAACGTATCAAATCGGTGACTACCTATCCATAAATCCATCCGTCTGTCGATGTATAAGGTCTCTTGGAATGTACCTCCATGTGGACTTGAACTGCCTCCATCTACAGCCGTCTGGAGATGGAAGCAGTATGTTACTCCTAAACATTAACATCTACCTAGAAGCCACACAGCGTTACAACCCAGAAAATCAACATCGGCATCTTCACCGCCGACTCTGATGCCTGTCCACTGGACTAGCTTACAGTAATCTGTTTTATTCAGGGGAGCCGTTGAACTGTTTCGACTACATCGCCTGGGCTCCCAGTGAACCACGGGACCGCCTGGCAGACGAAGACTGCGTGGTGTTGGACAGCTACAAGCAGTGGGGCGTAACAAAATGTTCAACGAGAATGCCATATCTGTGTGAACTGTGGCCCAGCGGTGATCAGACAGCTGATACAGCCACCAGACTAACAAAGTGTACTGTACTACAAAATCTAGGTAACCTGCAATGTCTTTGTTTTTGCCTTTTCTAGCCGATATTTTTCTATTTTAATGAATCTTTACAATCTCTCTTACTTCGTGCTATCATGTTGCTATGGTGCGTCAGGTTTCGCAAAGCAAATTCTGGAAATTTAATTATGGAGGCATAACCATTTTACTTGCTGTGTATGAAATATCAATACCAGAATTTAGGTCAGGGTTGTTTTAAATTTCTTTTTCATGTCTAGTTTAGAACTGTTTTTCACGTAATAACTAACACTTGTGAAACTGAACGTTATCTTCATGATAAAGAAAGATTTATTTTAGTACGACCCTGAAATTTAGTACTGTTATATACCATGCCAATAAGCATAGTATGGAAAATAGGCATCTTGTTTCAACTTGTCATACACATGAAAAATCTTGACATCATTCATTTCCTATTTCAGATAAAATAAGAAGCTGCATTGAATCCACTTCTGCAGCTGAAACTAATAAATTCAGTCGTTGCTGGAGAGGAATCAAGTATAAGAATAAACTGCCTTTTGCACTTGGATGGAATATCCATTTCAAAAACAACTCACAGGAAGCAACGCCCCCTCATAATAGAACAGAGCATGTCAAGACCCTACAAAATGCAACATGAAAGCCTTCCTTGATATAATTAGTGTTTCAGAAGGTAGCGACGTCAAAGCTTGAAGCTGACAACACGTGTGCATGTAATGACGAAATCTTGAACACATTTACTTTGATTCTACACTTTCTTGTGTTTTCGTAGTATGGTACTTATTTGCAGGTGCGACAT